ATGCAAGGTTAAAAATATATATTATACAAGCCATTATCATTTCTTTTATTGTTCAAGGGGAGTAACTCTTATTTTCCTTTTGTGTCCAAAATTGCAGTGCATGTTTTATTATAAACTGGAAAACTCTTGGTTTGGCCATTATTACAATTGCTAGGAGGGAGTAGATGTGATAAACTACAGAAGAACTCAAAATTGATCACTGCATGTCAGTATTGAATTAATGTTAAAGCTCACCTTTTAAAAGATCAATGATAATTCTTCTGCTGCCACTTAATTTAAAGACAATTTGATGTACATTGATTCTTATTTTCCGTATAAACAGTTATTTTTATTTCATGGGTAACAGAACAGGGGACAATTTATAAGATAAGATTAATATAATGTAAAGATGGGAAAATAGAACTTAGAATTAGTTATACATTCAACATTTGAAGAGTTAGAGAAACATAATAGCTAATTAAGTAAAACCTATTATTATGGAATCTATATCAATAATGTGAAATTGGAGCACAATTATCCAACAAACTCTGGGGTTAAAAAGTCCCAACTGTACTTTATAGTAATTTGATTTTTACCTTAATTAAGTTCTCAAATAGTGACATTTTGTTGAATCAAAGATACGAAACAATGGTAAGTTGTAACTACATAAAGGAATGAGCTTTATAATCTTCTTAAATTTCTTAACCCTAGAATCAATCTTATGTTTATTATCTTTATAAACATTTCATTGTTAATTTCTCCCGGTTTTAGGCATTAAATTGGTTAATATTTATAATTTGCTAGTAGTATGATTAGCTTCGTATTATATTTTAATTATTTTTCTCTGGCTTTATTTTAATAATACTTTATAATTAATATAATATAAAAGTCTAAAATTTATTTTGTATTCTAATTTATATTGTAAAATTGGTTTTAAGTATTGTATTGCTTCTTAAAGTATCCATTTTTACATTCTGTGGATACTTTTGTTTGAATAATATGACTTCATATACAAATGTCATAGAATTGTAAATGCTACATGCTTCGATACACTGTATCCATTCACAGTGCATTTTCATTCAAATCTGAATTCTCTCATTCAACAGAATTTCATTGGTTTAATTTGTATCCACATCTTTCTATTTCCTATCTTGACTTTCCTCTTATAAATCTGGGTAATTTTGAATATATTTCTTTATTTCTATTGCCTTTCTTTTTTGTCTTTTCTCTTGGTTTTAGGGTTAATTTCCTATGCTTTCTCTTAAATTTTTCTTTTTCTTTCCTATTTTTTTTGGATTTCTTCTTTCCTTTTTCTTTATATAAATCCTTTTTAACTTTTATGGAAATTTTTCCAAAAACAGAAAGTTAAGTAGTTTTTCATCAATTGCAATTTTGAATAAAACTGTTTAGTACCACCATTGTTAACCACCTGAAGAAACATTTGATTTTAACATTGAAACAAAATCTACAGTTTTGTAGTGGATATTTACATGTTCTAATGTAACAGTGTATAATATATATATATATATATATATATATACACACACACACACACACACAATTTTATATAATCTACACAATTTCATGATCTGAATATATATACAGGTTTTATTATTTGTGTGTGTATATATATATATATATATATATATTCAGGGTGTGATGCCATTTTTATTTCTAATTTTATACCCTCACATTGTTTGTTTTTGATCTTATCAACTGCTCTGTTAAGTAGGGCAGTTGGGCACCATCTGTGAGAAAGAGTACCGATGCAGTTCATCCCCTCCAAAAATTGACTTCTTGAAAAATGGATAATTCCAACAAACTCTGAGGTCGTGGAAATAAGCAAAAATGAGTTAATTAATTTTTCTGTATATATATATATATATATATATATATAATTATTAAGGTTCTATTTTTAATATTATCATTTTAATATTTTTAATACTGAGCACTATATGAAAATATATGCTTTACTTTTGAACTATTATATTCTTTATATATATATATATATATATATATATATATATATATACTCATATTTGAACTAGATGCCCCATTTTTATTTCTACTTTAAACAATGTATATTATCAGTCTGTATTTTTAGAAATCTTAATAAAGAAAATATCCTCTTCAGCAGAAATCAAACATGTATTTCCTTTTGTAGGACAAACTAGCATTTGATCCAGTATGCTTTAAGGATCAGCTACAAAGTGTGTTAGATTACAGAAAGGTTCTATTTTTCCTTTTCTTGCTTGGTGAGGAGGTCATGCTTTTGTTCAAAAGGAAAATAGATCTTTGCTCTACTGCAACATTCTTCATAGCCAAGTATTAAAGCACAAATCTTAAGTAGAAATATTGTTTGATATCACCTGGGAAAATTAAATAAAACCAATAAATAAAATAATAATAAAGAATAAAAAATAAATGAATTAATTTTCCCACGATGCAAGTTATAAAGAAACCAGAAAGGGTTTCTGATCATATGTACAATAACAGGATCCCACTTCCGTACAGATATAGAATCTCTATTTCCACCTTCCAACATGATTGTCCAGATGCGTTTTCAGCATCCTTACTCATGAAGTAGAGATTCGTCCATCCTAACTTGGAATGAAGCTGATTTAAGCTCGACCATCTCTACCCATTATCCTTACTTCCAATAAATTATTTCTGAACCAAAATGGAAAAATGGGCATACTCGAGAGAAATTTAACTTTGTTTCAGTGAAGTCAGTATTTAAAAAAAATAAACATCCATAGCCAAAACTTAGTTTTTTGTATGGTTCTTCTATCTTTACTTATATATTGAACACACACCTTCAGCTCAAAAATACACACAAAACCCACAAACATGTTAACATCCACAGTCTTTCAAATGTAGACATGTGAACCTGCCTACCTGCTTGCAATGAAAGTATATATTTGACATTTTGTTACTTCAAATGTTGGCAGTTGTTGTGTGTGGGGGTGGGTATGAAGCTTGTGGTGTCACTCGCATAATATCAGCAGAAATAGCCTCATGTTCACAGGAATAAAAACATGCACAAAAATAACGCTAAAAGCATGTTAAATTGTAAATTTAAAAAAAATAATAGTTTTTATTTATTTTATGTACTAGTGTATTTTAGTTAAATTTGTTTAAGGTTGCATGTGATAAAGGACGAAAGTGAGGTCTCAAAGAGAGGAGATGGACAATTTGACCCTCCAAGAGTCAATAGCAAATAGTGAGTTCAATGTCTTTTGGTGTAAAATTCATTTTCAGACAGGAAATGTTTCTGTTCCATGCTGGGACAGCTTTTAATATTTTGGTTATATTTAGTTATTTTAAACTAAGTTTTAATGTTATTTGTTTTATTTTATTTATGATATTCTTTATTATTATATATTTTAACTTATTTATTAATAATAATAATGTCCCTACAAGCTACCCCTACATATACTAAATAACATTTGTGGAACCGGATTCTGAGCTTGTGGTATTTAAATCGCTGCATGCCGCAAATATTTGAAGTATAAAAGGAAGGCAATCAATAATGAAAATTCAGAAGGTAATTAATAAATTTAAAGGAATCTGACCTAGATTGTAGTTCAAGTTACTTTAAAAATGTTTTAAGTATTTAATCTTTCCAATTCACATTCCTTGAATTTAGGGAAAAAATATTAACCAACCAAGATATTCCTTTTAATTAAAAAAAATAAATTAATCAGTTCCTTAGAATTAGGTTAATATCAAAGTTAATCTAAAACTTTCCATGAAAATCAAATAAAATTATTTTCAGATTATTCTTGTTTCTCATTAAAATAAGAATTCAGTTTGAACCAGCAAGAAATTTCAAAAAGCATTGGAGCAACGGAACAGTAAGCAATCTTTCTTGATCTATGTGCTGTAACCCTTCAAGACGTTGGCAATCATGACTTTCCTAATTTTCCTGTACTTTGTAGCCCTTAATAAATTTTGTCTTTTTGTTATCTCTCCTAATCCTTGCTCTGCTATCCATTTATTCAAGCTCATTCTTCTTCTATGTGTCATGTCTCTTCAGGATGTAGACGATCATGGGCTCCCCTAGATTTCATTTTTTTTTTTTGTTATCTTTCTTAAACCCTGTTCTGCCATCAAGTTTATTAGGTAGGTTATGTTATTTTCCTCTCTTCCTCTTACTTTCAATCTATCCTGTGAGTATTACATTTTCCAAGCACTCTTTCCTCATTATGTGCCCCAGAAATTTCAACTCTCATGCTGTTAAGTATGTCCTTTTTATTTCAATTTTTTTCTAAAATTTTATTTATTGATTTATTTTCTGTGCAGGTTACTTAAAAATCAGGAAATATATATATATACACACACACACACACACATACATACATACATACATGTTAATTAGTAAGCCTTGTATCATTAAGCCATTGTCTCTCATTGTCTCTCTCTCTCTCTATATATATATATATATATATATATATATATATTAAGAAATGGACAAAGTCCGACAAATTTCTTAATATATGACGTCATTTGTTTACATTTGATATGCCATGAGCAGTTATGAATGTATGAGATTCATGGAAGATTGAAGTTTATAAGCAGTAAATTCAACCTTGCCAACCGAACAATCCTTTGTGGCCGAGCGGTCAAGGCACGTCAGCGTAAATGACGGTTCCATATAGGATGCAGGTTCGAATCCTGTCAAAGGACGAATATTTTCTATGAAAATTTCTCGGACATTCAGGCCAGTAAATGTTATTTAATACTGTTTATTATAAACAGAGCATTTACTTAAATACTTGTATCTATAAAAAAGAACGTTAAACATAAAAATGTCTTTAATAAATATATATATATATATATATATATTGAGACAATAATGGCTTAATGATACAAGGCTTACTAATTAACCCAAAGCTGGGGGAGAAGAGGTGGGTTCATAATTTTCCCAAGGGTATTTGTGTGTATGTGAATACAACAAACCCAACTGGAATTGGAGTTTGGCCCACCAATTAGCATTTCCAAGCCATTATCCATTACAGCTTACAGTTCCTGGTATTCCCAAGGAGTAACCCATCTAAGTACTGAGTAGGCTTGATGTTTCTTAACTTTGGTGATCATATAGGAACCAGTGTTTTAATGTGATGTGGCCATAAGCTGGTCTAAAACTTCCTCATTGCTTACATGTTCAATCCATTGTATTCTCAACATCCTTCTGTAGAACTACTTTACTCTTGGTTCAATTCTCCTCTACATATTTGGAGAGATTATCTAACATTCACAACCCTACAGGAGGACTGATATTATGTAACAGATCAGTACTCTTTCCTTTGTTTCTAACAAAGTTTTCCTTTTTCTTAATATGTTGCTTAGCTTTTTGGAAGGCATTTTTCAATATATTAATGCAACTATGTTTTTCAGCATTACACTTTCCATCCTCTAGTAACACACTTGACCAAATATTGAAATTGTTGTACTTGTTTGATTTTGTTATCCCCAATTTGTAATTTGCTTGTTAGGCTGTTCCTTTTGTTAACGACCATGTATACTCTTCTTACAATTGATGTTTAATCCTTTCTTCTCACTTTCCTTCACTACCTTTTATAGGTGTTTTTGTAGTTTCCTTTCTATGTCTGCTATCAACACAGTGTCATCTGCATCTCTTAATTTAAGATTGTGGCCACTAATAATGAATCCTGGTAGGACTTCTAATTCTTTTAGAATCACCTCACTGTATAAGCTGCATGTTGCTCTATTCATCAGAGTTTGGATGTTAAATGGCTCATGAATGTACCTGTATTTATAACAGGATTTTTAAAAATTTTGTCTAGTTTAACCTATCTAACCCATTGCAATGAGGCAAAACACAATAAGGGTCAGATTTGTTTTTACAAAATTAATTTTGGTAGGACTTCTAATTCTCTCAGGATTGCTTCACTGTAAAGTTTGAATAAGTCTGGTGAGAAGACACATCCTTGTCTTACACGCTTTCCTATTTTTGTATATTTACTGAACACATTTTCTATCCATATGGAAGTGGTTTGCTGTCAGTACAGATTCTGGATTATTCTAATATCTTTGCAAAATATGTCAAGGTTAGCTTGCAGTTCAAACAGTTCTTTGTGGCATACTATCATATAGGAAGAAAACTATCAACACTGAGTTTCAAGCATGGCACTCTGGACTTATGAATATGTTTTCTGCCAGGTATATAAATAGTGGTGTCAGGCTACTGACTGGAGTGATTATTTAGTGACTATTGAGTGGAACTATCCAGTTGAATTAGTTGGAATTATTGTGCATCAATGATTTGGGTTTTGATTTTGGATTTACCAGTTGTTAAGTCGAGCTGCGTTACTAACAAGCTATTCACTGAAATGGTTAATTATTAATTATCTTTGGTTAACTTTTGCTTCTTTGTTCTTAAGTATTTATTTGCAGATGTAATTAAATACTGTTTTATCTTAACATTGAAGTCTTGAGTTATACTTAATTATTAACGGCCACTGTATGTCACAAAATGTACTTTATAAAAATTTTTTCCTGTTATCAAAATCTTTGTTGAAAATTTTTATTTAAAATTAAAATTATTTGCTCATTATAATCAAAGTTGAATTCCATTTTTCTAACGTAAAGTTTTTTATAACAATGAGTTTAATAACAAATGAAAATTGTTCAAATTTTTATATCCTATGCTTAATGTTATCAACCACTTATTGTTAACAAAAAAATCTGTGGCAAAATCAACAAAATAAGCAGAACAAGAAAAAAAAGGATGCAAGTTCGATTCCTGTTGGAGGCACAATTTATCTTTAGGAGGACATTTCAATTTAGGCTGATTGTTATTAAGTTCAATTACAGGTGCAAAACAAAGATCAAAGATTCACAGAACTCCCAATGGTGAAAATGTGCTTTCTTTTAATAGGTTATTCTAACCTTGCCTTTTCTCTGATGGAAAAAAAAAAAAAAAAAAGGGATGCAGTTTCAATTCCTATAAGCTGTGCAATTTTTCTTTAGGATTACTTCTCAGTTTAGGCTGTTTGTTATTAAATTCACTGTTTAATAAAAGAGAAAATTGCTGTGTTGATACATATTTCTTTTTTTTCCAAGTACTTTCGACAAATCCATGTCATCCTCAGGGTATTATTTATTACAAAATAAATATTGTAGTATACATTATTGTAAGAGACAAATTGTCGTGCTATCTGAAAGTTAAATTTCTTACAACAATTGTGATTTTTCCCTTGCCCTTCAATAATGACACCAAAAAGCTTATCTGCAAAGATGAAAAGATTTTATTGAAAATAAGCAGACAGAACATGCCTAAACTATACAACGAAACATGTCTTAATGAAAACATGCTGCCAAAATATAAGCATGTATATATATATATATATATATATATATATATATTTAAAATAAATGACAAAGTGGAAAAAGTTTTCATGTTATGTATTTCATCCTTCATGACTTCATCAGATTAAAGTGATGTTTACATTGATGCAACTACACATGCATAAGAGAGGGGGGAAAAAGCCAAGAACTTTTTTAAAATATATTTTGGATATATAGTCTAATCTTCTCTTATCAAAATGTGGGATATTTAATAATAAAAATAATGAAAAATCAACTTCAAAAAAAGAATCTGAATGAAATCATCTATACTATATGCCCAAAACATAATTTAGAAATAAAGTTAATTTTTAAAATTCTAAGTGTCCCCCTCTCTTTTATGCACGTATGTAGTTGAATCTATATAAATATCACTTTAGTCCTAAAGAACGAAACACATCATGCAAAGAATTTTTCAACTTTTTTCCCCTAGGTTTTTCCCTAACATTGTTCTTGAGATGTGTATGTATGTATGTATGTGTGTGTGTATGTATGTATGTATGTGTGTGTGTGTGTGTTATGTATGTATGTGTGTGTGTGTGTGTAATGTATGTATGTGTGTGTGTGTGTGTAATGTATGTATGTGTGTGTGTGTGTAATGTATGTATGTATGTAATGTATGTATGTATGTGTGTGTGTAATGTATGTATGTGTAATGTATGTATGTATGTGTGTGTGTAATGTATGCATGTATGTGTGTATGTGTAATGTATGCATGTATGTGTGTGTGTAATGTATGTATGTGTGTGTGTAATGTATGCATGTGTGTGTGTGATACATACATGTGTGTGTGATACGTGTGTGTAATGTATGTATGTGTGTGTGTGTGATACGTGTGTGTAATGTATGTATGTGTGTGTGTGTGATACGTGTGTGTAATGTATGTATGTGTGTGTGTGTGATACATACGTGTGTGTGTGATACGTATGTATGATATGTATGTATGTGTGTGTGATACGTATGTGTGGTATGTATGTATGTGATATGTATGTATGTGTGTGTGTGTGTGTGTGTGTATTAGTGAAGAACTATGACAAAGTGGAAAACTTTGTTTTGTGTGATGCATTTCATCTTTTACGACATCATCGGACTCAAGCAATGTTTACATTGGTGCGACTGCACATGAGAACGAAGGGAAAAGGGACACTGAGAAATTGAAATTAATATTTTTTTTTCTTTTTAAATATGTTTTGGTTACATAGTCTAACTGATTTCATTTAGTTTCTTTTTTATATGTTTCTATCACTTATTAAATATCTCACACTGTGATAACAGAAAACCGGCCAAGAAAGGTGAAATGTTGTAAGAACCTGGACATAAATTTACTGTGGATGATCTAGCAATTAAAGCACAACACCATCCTGGGTATGATGATAAACTGCATCCATCTCCTGGGTAAGACGATAAACTACATCTGTGTCCTGGGTATGGCGATAAGACAGCAAGGCCTCTGATCAAGAGATTTTGAGGAGTGTGGAACTGCTTCTTGATTACTGGTGTTCCCAGTTCCACCCTGACCTGGGGTGGTGGCACCTGTTGGGCCTTAACTATGGGCAAATAGTTAAAATGGTTAACTGGGGTCAATTCAACCTGAGTAAAATGATAAACTACATCTGACAGCAAGGCCTCTGATTGAGGTGGGGTGCTCCAAGGAGCACGGAACCACCTCTTAATTGCCAGTGTTCCCAGGTCCATCCTAACCCAGGGTGGAAGCACCTGTTAGGGTCCCAGTTATAGTCAAATAGTTGACCTCCAAACTGGGGACAAAATGCTGTGGAAGTGTAAAAATAGGTTTTAATACCAACAATGCATTTTTGAAGGAAAAATTATTATCAGCAATGAAGTTTTGAGGGAAAAATTATTACCAGAAATGCATTTTTGCAGAAAAAATAAAATATTTTTACCAGCAATACTTTTATAAAAGAAAAATTATTACCACTAATGCTGTTTTAAAGGAAATTTTTTTACCAGCAATACATTTTTGAAGGAAAATTATTACAAACAAAATATTATCAGCAATACATTTTTGAAAAAAATATTACCAGCAATAAAAATCAGGTCAGCATTAAATAACCCATTGAGCAAAACAAACCATACTAAAACAAAAGAAAAAACAATCTTTTTGACATTAAATAACCCTTTGAGGTTGATATGCCATAAAGCAAAGCAAACCAAACCAACCAAAATGGCAAGGCTCTTCATTTACATTCAATAAAGGCACATTAAGCCAAAGTAGACTCTGAGTTTTCATTACAAGAAGATAAGGAACTTAATTACAAATGTAAATACATGCCTGAAACTGTGTCAGTACCTCGTTTCAGAAAAAAATAATCAAAAAAATTGAAAGTCCGTCATTTTAATGAATTGTCATTAAGAGGAAATGTTCATACATTCAGAGATAGTTTGAAATACTTAGCTTTTTTGGATTGTTGAAGGAAAATTCTCTGTCACATGCTTGGTTAAAAGTCAATAATATAATTGGCGAGTAATTTGACACTGGAAAAAACTTGAATAGTGAACAGAAACAAAACCTTTCACATGACTTCAGACATCTTTCTATTAATTTAATTTTTCAATACTGGAAGTTAAAACTTTTACTAGCAACCAGAGTATTCAGTGAACTAGAATTGGTTAACCCATACTGTTGTAGTTAACTATGTCACTGATCATCAGCCATTGATCACTATATATCAAGCCTGTGGATCAATCTCTTGATGTTTGTCTATCTATACAACTGAAGTACTGCTGCCCACTCCAAGGGT